GATCCTACCAGTCCATCCTGAAGGAGGTAAGTCCTGGGTGTTCATTGGAAGGACTGATGCTGAAGCTGAAACTCCAATACTTTGGCCACCTCATGCGAAGAGGTGACTCACTGGAAAAGACCCTGATGCTGGGAGGGATTGGGGGCAGGAGGAGAAGGGGACGACAGAGGATGAGATGGCTGGATGGCATCACCGAGTCGATGGGCATGAGTTTGAGTAAACTCTGGGAGTTGGTGATGGACAGGGAGGCCTGGCGTGCTGCAATTCATGGGGTCGCAAAGAGTCGGACACGGCTGAGCGACTGAACTGAACTGAACTGAATCCCATTCATGAGGGCTCCAGCCTCATGATCTAATCACCTCCCAAATGTTCCACCTCCAGATACCATCACATTGGGTGTTAGATTTCAGCATATTAATTTGGGTGGGGGTTGCAAACATTCAGTCCATAACATTGTATGGAAAGAAGGGAGGAGAAGAAGTAGGGGAAAGACAAGGAAATGGGTCCCTGGAGGCTCTAATAACTTCTAACTGCTGGTATGGACATCTGTGCCTGGGAGCTTCTTTCCCTGAAACCAGAAATCTTTGCTGCCAATGGGAAGAAGTGCCAGGATCTAACACTGCAACAGCTCTCAAGCAGCGACTTAGGAATTAGTGTAAAAACACTCTAGCTCCCTCACCTTGGGCAGAATAACTGCAGGGTATGTAATCTGCACCATTTCCCAGGGTTTTTCTGAGGAATGAAACTGTGGTCACCCATGCGGCCGCTGGTTTGACAAGGGATGCAGTATTGGCTGCTTGCGCCCCTGTCTCCTTCCCTGCTTCCCTTTGACTCAACGCTTCTCAAATAAACCACATGCCTGTGACACTTCTGGGGAAACGCGGATGTCAGGTGTCTCTGATATCTGAGTGATGAGAAGCCAGTTTTGAAAAAGATTGGCAAAGAGTGGAATAAAAGTGGTGGCTGAATCTCTCTCTTTCCTTCCTCTTTCTCTCCCTCCCTCCCTCCTCTCATCCCTTCCTTCTTTTCTCTCTCTCTTTTTTTCTTCTTTTGAGTGCTGCCTTTTTTCCCAGATGTGGAAAACTAAGGGAGAAAAAGGAGGAATAGAAGATCACAGTGTAGCAGACTCTGGGGCCAGACCCGTGGATTCATTTTGCAGCTTTGCCACTTACCATCTTCAGAAACTCAGTCAAGTGACTAAGCCCCACTATGCCTCAGTTTCTTCATCTGTAAAATGGAACTAGACAGTACAGAAAAGTATTTGATTCTGATGAGGACTAAATGAGTTAATGTGTATAAAGCACTTGGAACAGTCCTGGTTGCGGTAAATACTCTGTCATCATCATCACCATCATCATTATTACTATTACAGCTACTACTGTTACTGCTTCGGACATAAGATTGAGATGCCCGCTGACATCCAATTACATCTGGCCCAAGTGCTCCCAACTCTCCCAGGACAAAGTGGTGAGATAATAACAGATACGAAAATGTCTTAGAAACTCTTTGTTTACCCCTGCTGTCTGCCCCTCTGTGCTCCAGAGACCGTGACTAACTCCCCCCGGTCCCAGGGCTTGACTCAGGGCCACTCAGAACAGAGAGGCCCAGGGTGTCCGTAGAGGGAGTAAAGAAGGGAAGCCCCTCTTGCTGGCCACAGGTGAGGGAACATTCATGAGATTATTTCAGCGAGGGTCCCAGATTGAGTCAATTCTGGAGCTGCATTCATTGCCCTCAAGGCAGCTGCAGGGTTTTTAGAGTTTGTCTGCCCCTTTTAGAGTTGAAAGGCCTTCCTGAGAGCGCAGTGCTGCGCGAGGCCTTTGCAGATCTGTGATCAGGCCGCTCTCAGAGCCTGCCGTAACCTGAGCCCACCCAGGCTCTGGTAGGGCTGTCTGGGTCTTCCTCAGCAGTCAGTGAGGACAGAAAGCCAGCCCAGGTAGGCAAGCCAGCTCCAGGGTCTTCTCAGACAAGGGCCTAATGTGGAGACAATGACCGTCTGCTGGAAGCAGCTTAATGCCCAAAGATGCTTGAAAAACGAAGTCCCTTGGTGGTGGGATGCCAATTGTTAAAACCCTTTGGGATGACAAATTTACAACATTCAGAACCTTCTTAAGTCATATTGGAGCCTGATGCAAGAGGGAAAATGTGCATCCCTGATAAACACGTTTTTATGTAATTTTTTTCACGGTTAATTTCTTTCTAGAAGTAGATTTTGAAAATACTATTGATGAGTTTACTTCCATTAAAGACAGGAAAGTAAAACTGACACAAATTCTGTGAGATATAAATAAAATATTTAAACATAAAATAATGCTGTTTAATATGCCTATTTTTCAATTTTACAAAAATTTTTTCCAACTACTTAAGTATTCTGGAAAAAAAGCAATGCCACTCCTGGGCATATATCTGGAAAAAACTCTAATTAGAAAAGACACATGCACCCCTATGCACTATTCACAATAGCCAAGACATTAAATCAACTTAAATGTCCATCAACAGATGAATGGGTAAAGAAGATATGGTACATATATACAACGGAATACTACTCGGCCATAAAAAGAATGAAATAATGCCATTTCCAGCAATACATATGGACCAAGAGATAGACTAAATCAGAAAGATAAATACCATCAGTTCAGTTCAGTCGCTCAGTCGTGTCCAACTCTTTGCAACCCCATGGACTGCAGCATGCCACGCCTCCCTGTCCATCACCAACTCCCAGAGTTTACTCAAACTCATGTCCATTGTGTCGATGATGCCATTCAACCATCTCATCCTCTGTCGTCCCCTTCTCCTCCCGCCTTCAATCTTTCCCAGCATCAGGGTCTTTTCCAGTGAGTCAGCTCTTCGCATCAGGTGGCCAAAGTTTTGGAGATTCAGCTTCAGCATCAGTCCTTACAATGAATATTCAGGACTGATTTCCTTTAGGATGGACTGGTTGGATCTCCTTGCTGTCCAAGGGACTCTCAAGAGTCTTCTCTAACAACACAGTTCAATGATATGACTTATATGTGGAATCTAAAATATGACAAGAATGAACTTATCGATGAAACAGAAATGGACTCATAGAGAATAGACTTGAGGTGGCTAAGTAGAGAGAAGTGTAGGGGCAGGATGGATTTGAAGTTTGGGGTTAGCAGATGCAAACTATTTTATATAGAATGGATAAATAACAAGGTCCTCCTGTATAGCACCGGGAACTATATTCGATATCCTGGGATAAACCATAATGGAAACAAATGTGAAAAAGAATGTATATGTATAACTGAATTACACTGTTGTACAGTATAAATTAACATAGCATTGTACATCAGCTATACATCAATAAAATAAATTTCTAAAATATTCTGGAAAAAATTACCATTAAAGAATATACAAAGTTCTGTATATACAGGCTTGCATTTTCTTTGGCCACAGGCTTCAGTGTAGTTCAGTAGCACTGTCAGATGCCATCTGTAAAATGGTGATATTTTGTTCATCGTGACCTGTTTTTAGCATTCATTTTTTAAGAATTGTTGCATTAACATATGATGTATCTTGGTTACAGTTCTTTTTGGTGTCCTCTTAAATTTTGTGCCTGAGTGGAGTGGCTTGATTGCCTCTCCCTAGTCCCAGCCTGGGAGAGCCTAACTCTGCAAAACCACCTTTAGGACCTGAAACTACAGAAAATCTCACTGCAGGGCACAAAGATGTGCATTCAGTGGTGTTTGCTGTAACACTGGGGAACCAACCCCAAAGTCCCTTCCAGTGAAGTGAGAGTCTCTCAGTCATGTTTGACTCTTTGCAACCCCATGCACTGTACAGCCGATGGAATTCTCCAGGCCAGAATACTGGAGAGGGTAGGTAGCCTTTCCCTTCTCCAGGGGATCTTCCCAACCCAGGGATCGAACCCAGGTCTCCCGCATTGCAGGCAGATTCTTTACCAGCTGAGCCACAAAGAGAACCACTTAAATCCATGAGGGCCCACCATAGGATGACATATTGTATAGCTGTTAAAAGAATTTGATTGCTTTAACTTTTGTGGAACAGAAAAATATTAAGAAAAAACTTACAAAACAGTATCTACAATAAAGCTGATATTTCTATTTGCATCGTTTGAAATGTTTTGTGTGCATTAGCTCAATTAATCTCACAGCCTTCCTGCAATGCTTTAGATGAGGAACTGGGGCCCAGGAAAGTTGAGTAATTTTCCTAGGGACACACAGCAGAGAAACAACAGAGTCAGTTTTTTTGAAAGCAGTATGGCCCCAGAGTTCCAGATTTCAATCACTAAATTAAACTGCTTCTCATTTGATTTGGGAGTCTGTGTGCATATATAAGGGGCTTCCCAGGTGGCGCTGGTGATAAAGAATATGCCTGCCAATGCAGGAGACTCAGGTCGGGAAGGGAATGGCAATCCACTCCACTATTCTTGCCTGGAAAATTCCATGGACAGAGGAGCCTGGCAGCCTACAAGTCCATGGGGTTGCAAAGAGTCGGACACAGCTGAGCACACGCAGCAAAATGTATTTTATACATATAATGTACACATAATGTAGAAAAACTTTCATGGAGCCAAACAGTAAACCATTACTAATGGATATTTCAGGTAGAGGTGAAAGGATAAGATACTTTAACTTGGAATCTTATATAGCTTGATAAAGTGTGAATTCCTAACAATGAGTATGTGTTATTTTTATAAGAAATGAAAAATACTAAGTACTTTACTGTGTCTTTGTCTTATGCTGGTCACTTTCAACCCACTGTCTCATTTAACTCTTGCAACAGTCTACTATTATTCCATTCTACAGAAGAGAAAACTGATGTTGGAAAAGGTGATCTCAGCAGTTTTGCAGAGCTCCAAAGCAATGAAGCTAGCCAGAATCCAATCTTGGATCCACTACACTGAACATACTGCTTCGAGACCTGTCTCCCTTCTGTAGCATGTTTTTTTTTTCTTCACGGCTGCATGTTAGGGCTTTTCAGAAACCACATTTTTTAGTCTATCCCCTATTGTTGAGTACTTAGGTTACCAAAAGGGACTCACTCACTTTTGCAGCGAGGGGGGCTGGGGAGGCCTCTGGGCCAGGGGCGCAGGGCATGGCATGGTGAAGGGACGGGCGGGGGCTTGGCTTGGTCCCACAGCCCAATGCGATTTTCTCAGTGGCTCCTTCCCCAGATTCCAGACTTTGAAAGGAATCACCAGGCGGGGAGGGAGGGAAGGACCCCACCCCCACCCCCTCTACCCCTCCCATCCCCCTGCTTTCGTCCCGCCTCCGGGTCCCTAGAGGGTCCTCGGTGCCTGCTGCCGCGGGCGGCACCATCTGCGCCGCGCAGGTGTGCCCGGCCTCCTGTCCAACCTGGGGGCAGCGAACACTGGGCTGATTGTGGCCCCCGCGAGCCCGGCGGGCAGCTGCGCCCGGGCTGCCATCTGTGTGCGCCGGGCCGCCAGGGGCAGCCGGGGGCGGCGCGCAGAGGGGCCGCCGGGACGCGCCCTCGCCGGGCCCCATTCAGGCGCTGCCAAGGCCTAATTGATGAGAAATGGCCCCGAGCAGGTGCGAACCTGTCTCCGGAGGCGGCAGGGTGGAGGGCGGGGGCCCGGGGAGGGGCGGCTGCTTAGTGGGAGCGCAGCTGTCGAGGGTCATTACTGCAGCCGTCTCTTAGGGGTGTTCCAGCCTGGGGGAGGGGGCGATGGAGAGAGCGCGCGCAGGGGTAAAAGGCGTGGGCTGGGGGCGGGGAGGGGAACCGCAGCCACTTTGTCGCACCCAGGGCCTCCTCCTTAGTTCTGGGACCTCATTTAGTGCGGGAGATTGAAGCCAGGTGAGACCAACCTCGCAGCCAAGGACGCCCCGCAAGTCGGAGCTCCCCAGGGACTCCGAGTCCAGGACTGTCCCCAAGGGACCCTCAGTGACGTTGAGTAACCCCCCTCCGCTTCCATTTTTAGTGCTACACCGGGTATGCACAGTCAGCGCGGAAGCAGGGATTTGAAATTCTATCCCATTTTAAATAGACCTTGACTGCATCAACCCTTTTGAACCTCCTCACACCCAAATCCCACCCCCCAATACCACCCCTACCTGACCCCGCCCCCCCAGCCCATTACCCATCAAGGTGCAATCAAATTGTGCTCTTCCTAAAGGCGCTTACAGGACCGATTTGTACAACGATAGTTCCTTAGAGCCCTGCAGACAGCGTGGCCAGTTATGTGGTCAAGGGTTCGGTTGGATGATGAGCTGCTTCTCTCTAGGAGGTGATTCTCAGCTTCCTATCAGCTACTTGCTCCTTGGTCCATGGGACGAAGTGAAGTGAAGTGAAAGTCATTCAGTCATATCTGACTCTTTGTGAACCCATGGACTATATAGTCCATGGAATTCTCCAGGCCAGAATACTGGAGTGGGTAGCCTTTCCCTTCTCCAAGGGATCTTCCCGACCCAGGAATCAAACCAGGTTCTCCTGCAATGCAGGCGGATTCTTTACCAACTGAGCTATCAGGGAAGCCCTGGGACTAAGTGGAGACCTCATTTAGAGGTAATTTCCGAAGGCCGGGTGCAAGACCTTCCTCAGCAGGGCCACTGGCCTGGCAGATAAGGAGGACCTCTTGGTCCCATCCCCTGCCTCTCCAAACACCTCTTCACTCAGCTGCTCTCAGGCCAGTTGATTAGAACCCACATTCTCAGTGTCAGACACTGCCAAATTTTCATCTGCAGCAGCAGCAGCCAGAGCAATCTTTTCAAAATCAGAGCTTGTACATTACGTATGTAAAATAGATAGCTAGTGGGAGATTGTGTGTGAAGCAGGGAACACAAAGCAGGTGCTCTGTGACAACCTAGAGGGGTGGAATGAGGAGGGAGGCAGGGGGGTGGGATTCAAGAGGGAGGGGACACATGTATCCCTATGGCAGAAACCATCATGATATTGTGGTGGTGGTTTAGTCGCTAAGTCGTGTCCGACTCCTGTGATCCCATGGACTGTAGCCTGCCAGGTTCCTCTGTCCATGAGATTCTCCAGGTAAGAATACTGGAGTGGGTTGCCATTTCCTTCTCCAGGGGATCTTCCAGACCCAGGAAACTAATCTGTGTCTCCTGCATAGCAGGCAGAGTCTTTACTGACTGAGCTATGATGGAAGATTGTAATTACCCTCTAATAATATTGTAATTACCCTCTAATTAAAAAAATTTTTTTTAAGAAATCATAATCAAAATAGAAGAAAAAAAATCAGAACTTGTTTCTTGCGACCCAGAGTCCTCCATTAATTTCCTATTGCACAAGAATACAATTCTGATCCCTACCAAGGTCTATGGCCCCCACCAGTCTTGCTCCAGCACACTTTTCTGCCCTCATTTCATACTCTGTTTCCCTACATGTGCTGGTCCTGCCACCCTGGGACAGCATTCCACAATAAAATACCTACTGTGTGCCTACTGTGTCAGGCACTGCTCGAGGCTCTTGGGAAACAGCCGTGAACAAAACAAAGCTGCACCCCATTTTTTCCTGTATTACCTGGTTCAAGTTACCTATCCTTTCTATACCTCAGTTTTCTCAACTGTAAAATGGGATGATAATAAAAAAATTCCCTCCTTTTGGAGTTGCTGTGAGGATTAACCAGGGCTTAGAGACCCCCTGGCACAAAGCTAGAGATCCCTGCCTGTGAGTTCTGATGATGTGAATGTATATGATGTGAGACAAAACCAGAAGAAGCATGTCAATCCCCTTCATGGGTGTGAATTTTTAAAAATAGATCCATTTGAGGAAAAAACATTAAGTGAATAGTCGAACATTAAGTGGTTTGTGGACATGAAATTCATCACAGAAGTTGAGAAGATGATTGAAGTTTGGGCAACTCTTCTGTGTTGGAGAGAAACCTGTCTCCCAAGCATTTGCTTTCAGAGGCTTCACCCGTGGGTGATGGATGGATGTACTGAAATCAAGTTGATCCTGAAGTAGAGTGATAATAGTGGGATTTCAGTCTTGAGTAGATGGTCTTTCCAATGAAATGAAAGGCCTGGAGGCTAGGCCTGTTCTTTAAAGGCCATGCCTGGTGAGGGCATTGGTGATCCCCTGTAGTGGATTGAATAGTTTCCGCCCACCCAAAATGATATGTCCAAATCCTGACCCTATGAATGTGTCCTTATTTGAGGTGAATGCCTTTGCAGATGTAATTACAGTAAAGATCTCAAGATAAGGTCTTCCTGGGCTTGGATTGGCCCAATCCAATGACAGGTATCCTTATAAGAGACAGAAAAGACATCAGGAGGGGCAGGTAAAGACGGAGGCAGGGACTGGAGTGATGCTAGCCAAAGCCAGTGCCTGCCAGGGGCCACTGGAAGCTGGAAGAGACACGGCAGCTTCTCGCCTAGAATCTTCAGAGCAAGTGCGGACCTGCCAACACCTTGATTGCAGATTTCTGGTTTTCAAAACTGTGGCTGAATAAGTTCATATTGTTTAAGTCACCAACTTTGTGGTAATTTGTTATAGTGATGCTAGGAAACAAATACACGCCTCATCACACACACAAAAAGCCCCATTTACTTTTTCTCTCTCTTTGGAACTCTGGCCTGGCCAGGACTCTGAGGGGCTGGAGAGGGGACGCTCAGAACACAGACCTGGCCCCTAGAGGCAGATTTCCTGTGAAGTTAATGAAGCTTAAACTTCAGGGCCACTCAACCTGGGCAAGCTTAAACTTCAGAGTCACTCAACCTGGGCATCTTCTAAAACTCTGGGAAGAGCCCTAACACCATGTCCATGGAACCACATGTTTGTGAAATCTGCAAAAGTATGCTATTTTAACTACTATTTCTCAAGACCACCGTGTTGGGAGAGCCCTAGGGCGCTGGCCAAAGGGAAGTTTGGTTGGGATTGCATTCAGTTGGCCCCATGAGATGTTTTGTGTGGCTCACAGACATCTCTGCATAGTTAAGTCATTGCTTGTCCTCCAGGTGTGAGAATGGCTTTCCAGAAAATTCCTCTTGCTCACGGTGGCCCCAGGGGTGTCGTCACAACATGAGAATGGATGCCATTGACAAACTGGTTGATGAGAGTCATCAGTTAGAGGGTATTGGAGCTGAGACGCTGGGCTTAGAAAACTTGAAATGCCTTGAAATGTTTTAGCTCATGTAGGAAAGAAACCTGAGAGTGGTTTCCCCAAATTTGACAACTGTCCTGCAAAGGTATGTGTCATGGGCTGAATTGCATCCTTCCCCAAGTTCCTGTGTTGAAGTCCTGGCCCCCAGTACCTCAGAATGTGAGTGTATTTGGAGATAGGTCTTTAAGAAGGTCATTAAGTCAAAATGAGGTCCTCAGGGCGGGTTCTAATCCAATATGACTGATGTCCGTAGACGGGGTGGAGATGAGGACGTGGGCACAGAGAGAAGACCACGTGAAGACCCAGGGAGAAGACAGCCATCTCTGAGCCACGGAGAGAGACCTCAGTAGAAGCCAACCCTGTTGACACCTTGATCTCAGACTTCCACCCTCCAGAACTGCAAGAACATGAATTTCTGTTGTTTAAATCACCTAGTCTGTGGTACATCGTTATGACAGCTATAGCAAACTAACACTGGATGTGACGTTACCGATCATGGATTACCAGGCCAAAAGAAACTGTTCTGAAAATTGTCAATTGATTTTTTTTTTTTCTGATCAACTTTTCTAGAGGAAAGGTTGAGTTACCTTTCTTTTCTCTTTGGTGGTGGCGGTGGTGGTTTAGTTGCTAAGTTGTGTCTGAACTCTTGCGACCCCATGACTGTAGCCCGCCAGGCTGCTCTGTCCATGGGATATTCCAGGCAAGAGTACTGGAGTGGGTTGTCATTTCCTTCTCCAGGGGATCTTCCCGACCCTGGGATTGAATCTACGTCTCCTGCTTGGCAGGTGGATTCTTTACCACTGAGCCACCTGGCAAGCCCTCTCAAAGCATACCAGGAAGTTAATGATATTGCTTTGTATTTCTGAATTTTGTGGCTTGTGCCAGCTTTTAAAAAAGCAATTGTTTTTTATTTTTCTAAATATTTCAGTTTGTATAAGATTTTTGTATCAGTAATTTTGTCTTCTTAATAAAGAGGGCCTCTCAGATAGAGTAAGTTTCAGGCCCAAGACTGTCTTTGCCCCCAAACCTCCACCCATATCTCTCCAACAGATCAGCATTTTGGGGACCTTCACCCCTCAGAGGGGCCCCTTTAGGCTCCAGCCACTCCAAGCCTCTCCTGTCTGGGTCCTACTTTCCCAGGAGGTGAATGTTGACTGCAGAAGGGAGAGATGCATAATTGATGAGACTCCAAGCATGGCTGGGCTGAAAAGGTCAATTAATTATTAAATATAGACTCAATGGGGAGAAATTTCATTATGGGGTCATTTAATTAAGTGACAGGCCAGAGGGACATTCTGAGATGGGATTTCAAAGGCTCTGATATTTTCTGAGTTTGGTTCTAGACCAAGTCTGAGTATGTGAAGAAGAAAGGAATGGCACTTTCTTAAACCTGGAACATTTGTTTGAATCCATCCTCCACCACCCTCA